TATATCCTTCATATTTTTGTTTCAATATGTGATCAATATAAAAATTATTAATGAGCTATTTTACAGTATTTTTTGGGGTGGAGGGAGCTTAGTAAGTCTTTAGAATCCATTGTGTACTTTATATTTACAGCACATTTCAAGTTGGGTAAGCTACTGTCAAATGTTCATGTCTGTTATATAAAACAGTACTAATGACTACTATATCGGATAGCATAGATTTCATTGGATAGCAATGACTCTCAATCTATGTGGCATACCAAATCTGAGTCACAATAATGTTACCTTGGTGTTCTAAACTCTTACAAAGACTGAACTATCTTTTTAATAGCTACCTATGGTTGGTCTACTGGTGGGAAAACAAAACAAGAAATAAATTGTATATTAATTATATAAGGACATACCAATGATTTTTGACCCATCATCTTCCACATCTGAGAGTTCCATGTCTTCCACATCACGATTATCTGTCGCAGGCTCAGGTGTGACAGATTTTTCACTCTCCACGGCTGGTGACTGAGATTCCTCACCTCCCATTCCTTGAAAAGGGGATTCAGAACCAGTTGGGGATGGAGCATCCATGCTTGGGGAAGGGACTGGTGATTCTTCAGGATCAGGAAGGGTTGACTTTAATTGATCCAGCTTCTTCTTTAAATTATTCACTCGATTAGCAAAGGTTTTATATGCCTGAAAAAGAAGAAGAGGAGGTTACTCCTCTGGGGAAAGAAATAAGAAGCTTCCATTTTGACTCATTCTGATCTCTTCATTATTATTAAATCCATCACTGGTAAAGAACAAGAAAATATTATTCCCTATGTGAATACTGCGGAAGCTCTCGTAGCATAGTGGCTAAGGCACTTGACTGCTAACCAGGAGGCTGGCGGTTCAAACCCACCAGCCACTCCTCGGAAGGAAGATGGGGCAACCTACTTCTGTAGTGATACTGCCTCGGAAACCCAAGGAGGGGTCGCTAAGAGTCGGGTCCAACTCGACAGCACATAACAACAACATGTGAATATTACCATCTATGCCATACAACTGCTCAAGTGAGAAATTAAGAGGTTATCTAAATACTGTATGTCTCACTAACATGTAAATCTAACATAACCTCTACAATAGCAGTCCTCAAAATGTGGTCTGAAGCCAGTTAAGAAAGATTCATTAATTAAGCACTTAGTATGTTCTAGCCTCTCTTCTAAGGAGCTCTGCTGGTGTAGTCGTTAAGCACTCAGCTGCTAACTGAAATGTTATCAGTTTGAACCCACCAGTGGTTCTGTAGGAGAAAAGACCTGGTGCTCTGCTCCCCATAAAGATTATAGCTTTGGAAACCCTATGGGGTACTTTTACTCTGCCCTACAGGGTTGCTAAAGGATTTGTGGTGGCATGGTGTATGCAGTATTTGGCTAACCAGGTCAGTGGTTCAAACCCACCAGCAGCTCCTGCTCCATGGGAGGAAGATGAGGCAATTTACTTCCATAAAAATTTACAGCCTTGGAAAACCAATGGGGGTCACTACTATGAGTTAGAATCAACTCGATGGAAGTGGGTTTGGTTTTGCTGGTTTTATAGGGTCATAAGAGTTGGAACTGACTCAATGGCAAAGAGTTTGTGTTTGTTTTTTTTTGGTTTTAAGTATTACCATGTAGTTGTCTAAATAAGAAATTTAGACATTATCTGTGATTTAACCTTTATTTCCACTCAACCAACCTGTATTTATTAAGACCAAATGTGCTGGCTAAATGTGTAAGGTCTGGGGATACAACAGTAAGAACACAAAAACAGTATCTACAAATAAATGAGATTACAAATAATGGTAAGTGCTACAAAGAAAACAAAACATGGATTTATGACAGAGAGCAACAGGGGGACAAAACAGCAAAGTATAGCCTGAGAGGTCAAATTCTACTAATTTTTAAATAAACTTTTTATTTTACAACAGTTTTAGATTTACAGAATTATTGTAAAGATAGTACAGAGAATTCCCATGTATCTCACACCCAAGTTTCCCTTTATAATATCTTACATTAGTACAGTACATTTGTTTGGATTAATGAACCGTAACTGATACATTTTTACTAACTATAGCCCATACTTTATACAGATTTCCTCAGTTTCCATCTAATGTCCCTTTTCTATTCCAGGATTCTATTCAGGGTATCACATTACATTTAGTAGTCCTGCCTCCTTAAACCCACTGCCATTGAATTGATTCCAATGCACAGCAACACTGTAAGACCACACAACTGCCCTAAAAGGTTTCTAAAGCTGTAAGTCTTTATGAAAGCAGACTGTGTCATCTGTCTGCCATGGAGAAGCTAATGGATTTGAACTGCCACCCTGGTAGGTTCGAACCACTGACCTTTTGGTTAGCAAGCTGAATGCTTTAACCATTGTGCAAGCAGAACTTCTCCTATCTTGTCGTCATTTTTGGTATGTGCCATTGAGTCATCCCCAACTCATAGCAATCCTATGTACAACAGAACAAAACACTGCCCAGTCCTGTTCCAGCTTCACAACCCCTACTATACCTGAGCCCATCGCTGCAGCCACTGTGTCAATCCATCTTGTTAAGGGCCTTCCCCTCTTTCATTGACCCTCCACTTTATCAAGCATGACATCCTTCTCCAGAGAATGGTCCCTTCTGACAACATGACTAAAGCAGGTGAGATGAAGTCTAGCCATTCTCGCTTCCAAGGAGCATTCCAGCTGTACTTCTTCAGGACAGACTCATTAGTTCTTTCAGCAGTCCATGGTACTTTCAGCATTCTTCACCAACACCACAATTCAAAAGCATCAACTCTTCTCTGGTCTTCCTTATTCACTGTCTAGCTCTCAGACTCATGTGAAGCAACTGAGAATACCATGGTTTGGGTTAGGTGTATCTTAGTCTTCAAGGAGATATCTTGGCTCTTCAGCAAGACCTTGAAAGAGGTCTTTTGCAACAGATCTGCCCAATGCAATATGCTGTCCGATGTCTTGACTGCTGCATCCATTGACATCGATTACAGAACCAAGTGATATTAAGTCTTTGACAACATTAATCTTTTCTTCATCTATCATGATGCTGCTTATTGGTCCAGTTGTGAGGACTTTTGTTTTCTCTATATTGAGGTGTAATCCATACTGCAGAGTGTAGTCTTTAATCTTCATCAGTAAGTGCTCCAAGTCACCCTCACTTTTAGCAAGCAAAGTCGTGTTATCTGTTTATCTCAGGTTGTTAATGAGCCTTCCGTCAATCCTGATGTCACATTCTTCTTCATATAGTCCAGCTTCTCGGATTATTTGCTCAGCATACAGATTGAATAAGTATAGTGAAAGGATACAACCCTGATGCACTCCCTTCCTGATTTTAAACCATGTAGTGCTTCTGTTCGAATGACAGCCTCCTGGCCTATGTACAGGTTCCTCATGAGTACACTTAAGTGTTCTGAAATTCCCATTCTTCTCAATGTTATCCACAGTTTGTTATGATTCACACCATCGAATGTCTTTGCATAGTCAATAAAACACAAGTAAACACCTTTCTGATATTCTTTGCTTTAAGCCAAGATCCATCTAACATCAGCTATGATATCCCTCACTCCACATCCCCTTCTCAATCCAGCTTGCATTTCTGGAAGTTCTCTGTCAATATACTGCTGCAACCGTTTTTGAATTATCTTCAGTAAGATTTTACTTATTACGTGTGTCTTCTTAGGCTCCTCTTATTTGTGAGAGTTTCTCAGACTTTCCTTGCTTTTGATGACCTTGACAATTGTGAAGAATAATGGTCACGTATTTTGTAGGATAGCCTTCAGTTGAGATGTGTCTAATGTCTTTCTTATTATTAGATTTAGGTAATGAGTATTTGAAAGGAAAACCACAAAGGTAAAATGCTAATCTCCTTACATGATGCCAAGAGTGCATACTATCTGTCAGTATGACTAATCATTGCTGATGTTAACCTTGATCACCTGGTTTAAATCCTGTTGAATTCCAGAACAGGAAGAAACAAATAAAACCACAGAGAAAACTGTTGAAGATCTGTTGGAAGAGAACTGTCTGGGTATGATGAAAGATGAGAATATATCCATTCAAGAAGTCCCACAAACCCCAAAGTAGAAAGACCCCAAAAGAAAATCATCAAGACATATCATCATCAAACTCACCAAAGCCAAAGCCAAAGAAAGAATCCTGAAAGCAACATGGGAAAAACGATGAGTTACCTACAAGGGGCAATCAATAAGATTAAGCTCAGATTTCTTGGCAGAAACCACACAGGTGAGAAGACAATGAGATGGTATATATAAAACCTTGAAAGAAAAAAATTTCCAACCATGAATGATATACCCAGCAAAACTGTCCCTCAAATATGATGGTGAAATTAGGACATCTCCAGGTAAGCAGAAATTAAGGGAATTTGTTAAAACCAGTCTAACCTTACAAGAGATGCTAAAGGGAGTCCTTTGGACAGAGAACCAACAACAGCAAACAATAACTGACATCACAATAAACAATACACATGATGACACAACCTGGAAACCAATCCAGTTATAGAAGCATTCAAAGTAAATAAGCCTACAAGATTGTAAACAGGGAACCAGAGACATCAATTGAAAAAAGAGGACAACTACAAACCAAAAAGGGAAAAAACTGTGTAGTTACAGAACTTCTAAATAGTAGGGAACCCAAGACAACTACAAGATAGAATGGACTGTTCTCAACTTGGGAGGAAAACTATAAATCACAGGATAACATGAAAGAAAAATGATAAACCTTCACATCAAAATAAAAAAGAGGACCAACACAAATATTTAGCAAATACTAAAACAAAAGCAACGAAGGAAGTGATAACATGATTCATAAACAAAACGAGCTCAGCACAGAAAATTACATGGAACACAGAAATCAACACCACAAAAAAGCACAAAACAAAGTGACAGCAACAAATTTATACTTGCTGATAATTACGTATCTGGCAAAGGACTCATCTCTTAAGATTTATAGAAAACTCCAATGCCTCAACAGCAAAGGGATTAACAATCCAATTAAAAAATGGGCAGAAGACATGAATAGACACTTCAACAGGGAGGATATTCAGGCAGCCAGCAAATACATGAAGAGATGCTCAGGATCACTTGCCGTCAAAGAGATACAAATCAAAATAACAATGAGATACTATCTCACGCCAGCATTACTGGCAAGATTCAATGAGACAGAAAATAATGAATGCTGGCAGAGCTGTGGAGAAAATGGGACTCTCATACACTGCTGGTGGGACTGTGAAGTGATACAAGCACTGTGGAAAGCAGTATGGCTGTTCCTTAGAAAGTTGGAACTGGAGATACCATCTGAGCCAGCAACCCATTACTGTATATATCCTAGAGAGTGAGAGGCAGGACAGGAACAGATATATGCACACCCATGTTCATCACAGCACTGTCTGCAGTGGCAAGAGGATGGAGGCAACCTACGTGCCCATCGACAGAGCAGTGGATGACCAAGCTGTGGTGCAGACACACAATGGAGTGCTGTGCAGCACTGAGGAGTGATGTGGAGTCTGCAAAGCATTGCACGGCGTGGATGGACTTGGGGGACATTGTGCTGAGTGAAATAAGTCAATCACAGAAGGACAAATATAGTGTTAGTTCATTGGTGTGGAGGGTCAAGGAAAGGTTTATATATGGAGGGAAACTTTCTTTGTTGGT